AGTCTCTACTGACCCTGGTGATATTATGCTTTATTTATCTACAAAAATAAGGAATAAAATAAGCTTGTTTACAACATTCAACTATTCTACTAGCTTTTGATATAAAAGTAGCTATATATAAGCCAAGCTATACAATATTTTTTATAGATCCCAATAATAGTTTTATGATACTAGTCTTGAAGGATCACTATCTTTAAAAATTAAAGTCTCTTTCTGAGCCATATAAATCCAGTCTATACAGATTCATCTTGCTTTTTATTCTCACCTTTCATAAAAATAACCTGAGATTTTAAGCAGTGTTTTGCGTTTTTTGAACCACTTGTCTGAGAATATTCTGTATGCCAAGAAGGGTTATGTTGTCAAGAGAGTTGAGAAATACTGTATAATATATACTTCCTTTGGAGATTGATAATGTTTAACAGCAAATTGAAAACTGAAATATCTTGTAGTATAGAAACCTGTAACATTCAACTAGGCATTACCCTAATGAATATGATTTTTTACCTTACTGACAACTTAATATAAACCATGCATTATGCTGATTGCTTTAGAAGCATTAACTCATGTTGTCCTCACAGCAGCCTGTGAGGCAGGTACTGTTGTTATATGCTTCCTACAGATCAGGAACGGAGGCCCATAGAGGTCAAGTAGCTTGCTCGAGGTCATACCGTTAGTAATTGGGAAAGTCTGGCTTTTACACCAGATCTGCCTGAGGCTGGAGACCATTCTCTTGATCACTGAATATTATTTTTATTCTTTTAAAAAATGATACTCCTCAATACTCTGTGGATTTTAGAGGAATTAGTTGCATGTCAAAGGGAACAACTTTCTGATGGTTTTACATTTTGAGTAGAAACAGCTACACCTGTGGAGTAATTGTGAGGGAGGGGAAGAACAAAGGAAGGAAGGAAAGAAAAGAACATGAGAAAGAAGAAAACAGATGAAAGGGGGAAAGGTAACAAAAACACCTCAGCATCGTTAATGAGGGGGGGAGCAATCCTATTGGACAGACATTTTCCCAAGCTCATGTTGATTTTATTAAGTAATCTCACCTTTGAGGTCCATGCCACTAATCTGTTATATAACGTATTATTTTGTTAGATCATTTGATTTCCCTCAGCCTAAATTTTCTCATCTGTTAAACAGAGAAAATAATCCTAAACCTGTCTGTACTATTTGCATAGCTTAAGGATCAAAAGAGTTAAATGTGAAAGCATTTTGAAGATATTTTAAATATCAAAAAAAAAACCCCCACAAAACACAAAAACTTTGCCTCATGATACACTACCATAGTAGTTTAAATATTTATTTTTTAGTTAGAGTGCTCCTTGCAAAAAAAAGGAGAATCCCACTCAATGTGGAAAATAGATGAAAGGCAGGGCTGACCATGGGAGAGAGGACCAGGAATCCAGAACTTCCCTCCTCCCCCATTCCTACTCCCCTGGAAAGGGGGAAATGGCCCCACAAGTACCCTAGGATTCCCTAGAGCACTGCCCTAGCAAAGTGAGGGAGCACTTTGGTCTTAAGCAAATCTCTGATCTCTGAGCCCCTGTTTCCAGCTGTGTAAAAGGAAGGAATTGGATGAAATGATCCCTAAGGCCTTTTCCAGCTCTGACATCCTAGAAACCTGAGCTTCTGATTCTTCCACACTGATTAACAGAATCCCACACAGCCAGCATCAGGCACATGCCTGCGCTGAGGGGAGATCTCGATACGAGAACTGTCTCAGCATTAATAGGAGCCACCAGGCCTATGCTGGGTCTCGGGTGCCTGGGTATGTTCATTCTCTCCACAAACATTTCCTGAGCTGCTTCTCTGGGAAAGGATGTGGTGGCTATGATCCTTAGAATGAGCATGAGGAGTTTACAGCACATGGACAGCAGGGGACAGACATGCCAAAGTCTAGGGCACAGGGTTCTAAGGGGAGTGTACACAAGGTGCTCCAGGGCTGCCTGGCAGCTCACCGGAGTGCAGGAGGGCATAGCCCCCGAGTTGGCCTTCCTGGCTCAGATTGGGCTCCACAGCTGTCATGTGGCCCTGGGGATGCTACTTCCCTTCTCCACATCTCAGTTCCTTCACACTCAAAATGGAAATGATAACTACTTCATAGATTTTTGTGAGGATGAAAGGAGTTAAAACATAAAAAGCACTCAGAAGAGTCCCTGAAATGCAATAAGCATTCAACAAATGCTAACTGATAGGATCCCCAGCCCAGGGCCAAGTCCCCTCTCAGCAAGAGCAGCATAGTGGTTAAAAGCAGCCCTGAGGCAGATGGCCAGGGTTCCAGGCCAGGCTCAGCCCCTTTGTGACTGCATCACCTTGGACAAGTTAACACACTCCCCTGAGCCAGACCAAATGGCATGAGAACTGTTGAACACTTCACCTCTGACAGAGCAAGAATGTCATCAGTGCTAACAATTATTGTTGCTAATGGCCGCAAGATTGCAGGAAGAACTGTTTTTCTCCCACTGAAGGAACTGGGAAAGACATAGGTGAAGGTGACAATCCAGCTGACCGTGCCCCGGTCTTCCTGAGCCTGGGCTGAGTTCTGGGTGTTCCCTGCTCACGCCTCTGCACATGCACTTCCAGTTCTCTGTGCTTTCCCCTTTATACCTGCAGGCATGGTCACAAAACAAAACACAACTATATAAAGAGATATAGAGATAAAGATATATATAGGGGTGTGTATGTGAATAGAGAGAGATAGGTATAGAAAGCATAAGTTTAGAGGGGTGTGTAGGGGGTTAGCCTTGTCATTCTGCTGTCCCCATACCTTCCATGACCCCTCTTGCTATGACTGCTTAGTCTGGCCTTCAAAGCCCTCTGGCTCTCAACTGCCCTCTTGGGAGAACCTCATCTTCCCCTTAAGACTCACTGAGCTTACAAACCTGGGCAGATTCCTGCCTGCACACTTTGACTCATACTGTCCCTAACCTGAAAGGTCTGGGTCCAGCCTTTTGGCCTCTCACGATCCTCCTCTTGCTGCACTGCTTCCTGCTTAGAATTCCGCACACGGCTTTTGCTTCTCTGAGCCCCTTAGACCTGTCAATTCTAGGGCCATGTGTCTGTGTATGTCATATCTTCTCAAGTAGACCAGAGGTGATCTCAGAACAAGGCCTGTCTCTTAGAGTTCTTTGTATTTCTCTCAACTCTGCTACGCAACACCATCAGTTTTAGCTCAGAGCCTTGCATGCAATAATGATTCACTTCACAGTTGCTGGAAGACCTTGGAAAACAAGTCAGTACAAGTAACCTATCGATATTTGAAAAATGAACATTGTCCATCATTATTTGTAGGCACTACTGTATGCTCAGTATCATAATAGTTTATGCTTGGAAATAAGAGAAATAAATAAAGGATAAAATAGCCATGTACAAAAAGTTAAATCTAGATGGGAAAAATATGGTTAATCTAAACAGAAAGTAAAAGAAATGTAATGTTTAAATCATATAATGCCAACCACAGTTCAGAATGAGCTCAGTGAAGGGAGGGGTTAATAGACATGGGGGAAAGAGGGTTCCAGCGGGATGAACTACTGCAAGGAAGAAAATCCCCACCGTCTCATTGGCTTTACACAAAACAGTTTAGCTGTGTAAACAGTTCAGCCCTTACCCCTCAGAAGGGGCAGTTCCTAGGCCTGGTCACCACGGGGAGGATTTTCACCAAGGGAGGGCAAGGAGCACCTGGGAAGCATCCAGCCTCTTGTTTCTCTCCACCAGCATCTCAGAGCCTGTATGTCTAATACTGCATGGTGTGACACCGAGCTCCTTGTCTTTCTGTCTCCGGTGTTGACTGGGTGGCCCAGAGCAGGCCAGTTCTAAAGAGTCTCACCCCCCTTACATCTCTGCCTTCTTCTCATTAACAGATTGGTTATTGGAACGAAGATGACAAGTTTGTTCCTGCAGCCACAGATGCTCAAGCTGGGGGTGATAATTCAAGTGTTCAGAATAGGACATACATCGTCACTACAATCCTAGTGAGTACTCAGTCCTTCATCAAGGCTACTTGGGATTCAACTCGGACCACCACAACGATTTTCCACCAGGGCTCAAAGCTTGTTATTTTCTTGACAAAACTGGGTTATAAATATAAACAGAGAGTGGAATAAAGGCAAGCCCTGGAAAAGAGAGGTTCTAGATTTTCATTCTGTACCTCTCAGTTTCAGTATCTCATACTTTGTATCCTTGGGTACGCCACGTACCCTTTTGTGAGCCAGTTTTTCCATATATAAAACATAAGGGTAAGACTAAATTGTGTTGGTTTTCACGCTCCATCCTCCCTCAGTAGAAGCCATTTTCAAAGTAAGTCATCTGAAGTTCATCACACAAAGTCACTGTAAGTGAAACTGCTTGCTTTTCAATGATTCATCATAAGAAACGTGGAGGCTACTCAAACTTACTTCCCCTTTATGGTATCCCCAGAAGCATCTACCAAAAACTCATAATCTCCTGGAACATAATTTGGAACACTAGGAACTACATGGTGAAGCATTCTTATCTTAACAAAGTTTGCTTCCTTCACCCAAGAAACTTGCAATAGAGTAGGGGTTGAAGAAATTGAGGAAGAGGAATTAGGGTCTAGAGAGCCTTCCTCAGTATTGACTAATGTTTGTGACCCCTCCTCTGCCACACCAAAGTCCTCCCTGTCCCCTGCTGAGCCTGTAACTCACAATCTCTGTCGCCGTTTTCTCTACCAGGAAGATCCTTATGTGATGCTCAAGAAGAATGCCAACCAGTTTGAGGGCAATGACCGCTACGAGGGATACTGTGTGGAGCTGGCAGCAGAGATTGCCAAACACGTGGGCTACTCCTACCGTCTTGAGATCGTCAGTGATGGAAAATACGGAGCCCGAGATCCTGACACAAAGGCCTGGAATGGCATGGTGGGGGAGCTGGTCTATGGAGTAAGTTTTCCCCAGGGTGGGGAGTTGGAGGGCACAGGCAGATAGTTTGATAGGAAGTCATTTGGTGGTTTGGGGGCCCGGCCGACAGATGCTTATTAAACTCTATAATTGAGTAAATAGATGAACCATCCAAAATCCGAGGTCTCAAGACACTCTTTGTTCAGGTTCCTGGTCCCAGTTTCCTCAACACCACTGAGGGTCTTGTGACTTCAGTTAACTATTCTCCAAAACAGGTGACAGTGTAACTCCATGATCAGTTTTCCCCAAGACTGACTGCTGAGGTGTCACTTCTCTGCAAAGAGTGACCTACCGCAGCTCTCTCAGTAATAGTTTCCTCTCTGATATTAGATGCACCCATATCCAAACTTTCTAATCACTTGACCCTTCTACTCCTTTTCATGAAACTTTCAATTCAACCGAACTGCCCTCACTCACTGTTCTCCAGAGTGCTCCCTCCCTTCCATTCTCTACCTCTAAAATCCTACTCCTCCTTCAAAACCTTAATCAAATATTACTTTTTCCAAGGTGTCGCTTCTTTTTCCCCATAACTGGTACAGACTCCCCTTTTATCTGCTCTTGTCTTACCCTGTAGAATTTAGTAACTGCTTTTTTTATGGCTTACCCTGCCTTATATCATGGTTATCTTTGTAATAGAGGTAGGTCTATTTCATCCTTACATCACTCACTGCACTTGAAATGACTCCATAAAGAGTTGCTATAAAGTCTTCAATAAATTAAAGCAGTTTTGAGAAGCCACTGAGTGCCCAACGTCGTTTTAAGTATTTAGGGAATCAATGGGAAGCAAAAAGGTCTGATCCCAATCCCCAAAGATCTTAACATTTTATGGGGTAGAACAGACAATGAGAAAGAAGAGTAAATAACAGCATAAAATCAAGCAGCCTAAGTTGTGTGGTTCAGATGTGAGGCCAGCGTGAGTTTGTCTGGCCCTTGGGAAGAATGCGGAACTTGAGAAGCGGCCATATGTGACTAGAAAGAGAGAAAAGCAGCCCAGGAATTTCTGAAATATAAAAAATAGGGCGGTAGTGGAAATAAGTAAGGTGTGGGAAGAGAGTGAGAAAACACTGATGGTTTTGTCAAGGGCTTGGGTTGAGGAGTATTCAGGCATGAGTTTGAGTAAGGAATGACAAGAAGGGTGTGGGCGCTTCAGGAGGAGATCACGCACGTACTTGAGGTGACAAACAACAAAAGGCAATGGGAAAAGCAGCTGGCCATCTCCTGGGGAAAGGGGCCTCCATGCTTCACTCACAGAAATGGAAAACTCCAGGCTGGGTCTTTTTGCTGAAGCATGAGCCACCCCAGATAGATGTCAAGTGCTGTTCTGGGAGGGGGGCAAACATTTAGGAGGATATTAAATCTCCTAGTCTCATATCAGGGCAAGAGGAATCATGATGGCCATGAGAGACATACAAAGGGAATTCAAAGAAGAAAAAAATGGAATTAAAAAAAAAAAATCATCCTCAGGGAGGAGGCTTTTGAGATGGCCTGTGAAGGTGGTTAATGAGTCGAGGAATAGAAGTGCTTCTCCCCTTTCTTATTCTCTCTTGCTTTGGGAAGCTCCATTGATGGAAAATAGAGATGTGGATGGTGCACACTGCAGCTGGAGGCTGGTTTCCATGGGAACTCCCACCAAGCACTTAAGGTCATCCCTATGGCAACTGCTATGAACTTTTCACCTTCTCCAGCATTCATCTTCACCTTCACCTCATGTAATGAGGTTCCCTTGGTAAAAAGCCATGATGTGGGCAGAATAGCAGTCTGATCGTCCTGAGGGCAAGCCCCCCAGTAGCCAGCAGCCAGTGGTGAGTCATCAGCTCATCAGGACTCAACAAGCTGGAGTCACCTCTGGATGCCTTTATGGCTAGCTTTGTTCCGGCCCCCTCCCCGTCACCAGGCTGTCACTCAGCCCAGTAAAAACTGTCTTCTGAGACTCCATGATGGGCCCAATTAGATGCCTGTGCTGTATCTCCAGTTTGGCTTTTTTTCCCTATTCCTCTAAGGCAGAACAGGATGGTCTGGAGAAGAACCTCCTAACCACAAACCACCAGTGAGGTCAGGAAAAATATTCATGTGGAGGCCTCCAACTTTATTCTCTCGGTGCCTTTTAAATTGCTAGGTCCATCAGGGCTCTCCTATCTCGAGTTGCTCCTTCTTGCTCTCAGTAGTAACATTTCATCTCGGGGCACATGCCAGGTGCTGTGCTAAACACCTTACTCACATACTCTCATTTACTCCGCCTATCAGTCCCATAAGGTTACTAAGATTATTGTCCACATTTTATGTTATCTAAGCACTAGGTTGGATGATTTGGCATAGGAAGTGCAGCTAGTGAAAGCAGAGCCAGGACACGCAGCCCCGGCTTTGTCTTCCAGAGCGGGACATAACTGCCTCTGTAGAAATAGCACCACCATCCACGTACTGGACGAGGGAACAGCAAGCGTCTGCTTTTGCAGATGCCACATGCTGCAAAGGAAGTTCCTGCTTTTTGCATAAATCTCTCTTTGTGCCTTCTTCCCAGCTGTCCTTTGTCTTCCTGAAGCAGAGAAAGCTTTACAAGCAGATACCTGCATTTGAATTTCAATTCGCCAACTTCCTGATGGTATGACTCCACTAAGGGCCACTCCAGTGAAACAGGGGAAATGAATCCTTACCACAGGGCTGTGATGGGTAGTATTTACCTATGTGATGCCTGGCTCAGAGTGAATCTCCATCCCTGAAGTTTTTTGGTTTTTGTTTTCTTTTGTTTTGGGGAGTTTTTTTGTTTGGTTGGTTTTTGTTTTCTTTTGTTTTTGAGGCAGAGTCTCTGAGGCATCATAGCTTACAGAAACCTCAAACTCTTGGGCTCTACCAATCCTCTTGCCCCAGCCTCCTGAGTAGCTGGAACTATAGGACCCTGCCACAATGCCCAGCTAGTTTTTCTATTTTTAGTAGAGATGGGTCTTGCTCTTACTCAGGCTGGTCTTAAACTCCTAAGCTCAAGCAATCCACCTGCCTCAGCCTCCCAGAGCTCAAGCATTAAAGGCATGAGCCACCACGCCCAGCTTATCCCTGACAGTTTTAATCACTTTCTGCTTTTTTCCTACTGCATTCAAACTGTACACTTTTTTCAAGGACTGTTTCTAGACATCACATATTTCATGTAGTGATTTCTTGGCGTAGTGATTCTCAAAGTGTGGTCCTTGGACAGTATCAGCATCCCCTGGGAACTTATTAGAAATGCAAATTTTGACATCTCACCCCAGATTCACTGAATTTGGAAACTTTGTCTCCTATTTTTTTTTTTTTTTAGAAACCTTCCAGGGGATTCTAATGACTGCTCAAGTTTAAAAGCCATTGTCCTAAGATACCAGTTTAAGAAAATAATTTGAGTGTCTATAAAATGCTCACACTTCACAGTAGTTCACATATTTGAATTATTTTGACCGTCACAAAACAATCCTGTAAAATAGGTACAACTAGAATTATTGCACTTTTTTTAAATGATAAAATTGGTATCTAAGAAGAAAGGTGTTTCACTTGAGGCCACATGGTCAACAAGTTGCAGAGAAGAACAGCCTGATCTTAACTCTGCTCTGCTTTCCACCAATCCCATGAAGCTCCAGTAACTACCTCAGGTGGTAGAAATAAACTCCTGAGACCTCTCGGTCAATATCAACCAAGCTAAAACAGTGCAACAGTGCATAAACCACATTCCCTCTCTGGATCTGAATTTCTTATACATAAAGTGAAGTAGGTGAACTTAGCATCTTCCACTGTATCCTATCCCTATACCCATGGGTCATTCAATGCTTAGGGAAATGAATGACCCACGGCCAGATAATTTTCTTGGAAATTTTCAGGGCCCATTGGTCATTCTAAAGGTTCTGAGAAGTCCAAAAGTAACCTGTTTGGACACATGTGTTTCCTGTATGTGTTATTTTCATGTTAGCATCCTTCCAGAAATTATGTTCTATGGAACAAATTTTTGAACAGATAATTAAATAAGTATTAAGACTATATGAATCTATGATTTTCTGGTCTGTGATCCCTTTTATTAACTTGTATCAAGAAGCATCAACAAATCCTTTCAATACCACTTACCACCTTCAGAGCTAGTATTTATCCAGCTCTTTTCTGGGTCACTTGTGGTCAATTCCTCTGAGTCCCTTCCATTACTCTTCTCCCCCTTTCCTTTTCTGCTAGGTTATAGAAATAAGAGTAGATATGTTCTCCCTTGCACTGGCTTGTATTTGTAAAATTTTTCGAGATTTATGCCACAAGTATTAGGAGGAGAAGACAGAATTACTATGAAATTCACACCTGACTCCACATTTCTTCACAGAAAGTTTCTTTCTATAAGTGAGAACTTAACTTATTCTGAAGCCAGGCTTTTTATTCCCCTTAAAGCACCTTCTCAATAATCCCAGGCAACGAGAGCAACCAATGGAAATTGTCTCTAGGCAATTCTAGGCCAGCCGGTAGGTGATCAGGGCTCTCATCTACACAGCATCTGTCACCAGCCTCACCTCTGGACTGTTGCACAGCATCATAAAAGAAAGCCATTTGCCTGAAACAAATGTCTGAGACTTGCAGAGGCCTGTCTGTCAACTCAGAAATGAATACTGTGGCAACTGTCCATGGAAACCCTCTTGAGTTTCTAGGATCCCTGATCTCAGGCTAGCAGTGGATTTTTAAGTGGATCCTAAAGCAGTGGATTTTTATAGAGTAGATACCAGTTTTTCAGCCATTAGAGAGAGATAGGAAAGACTGAAGAGCAAGCCTTGGTGATTGCATGAGCAAGTATGAACATTTCTTACAAATGTTTCTTACAAACATTTCTTGTTTATCTGTTTGCTGGATTTGAAATTTAAAAATTGGATTATTTGTGTATTTCTTACCCATCTTCCTGAAAAAAAAAAAAATAGTTGTGATGCTATTTTACTTTATTACTGCCAGGCCTTTAACTCACATGGTTCTGTCCTCCCGGATACTATTCAGTGCCAAAGTAACCTATCAGAATTGTACCCTTCCTTCAGTACCAAATTTACATGTCACTTCTTCCTCAAGGCAGTCCCTGATCTTACCAGCCAGAATGAATCTCTCCCTGGTCTCTTATAGTGTGTTCTATCTCTTGGGTGGTATATATCCCACACACCTTGTAGACAGAAAAATTTGTGTGTGTGAGTGTGTGTGTGTGTGTGTGTGTGTATCGCCTATTAGTTTTCAATTTCCTATGTGTGGGAACTATAGTTTATCTACAACTTCCAGCCTAGAGCTTGAACATAATAAGTGATATATGTCTATTGAGTTAAATTTTCCTGTACCTCCTTGCTAGCCTGGACTATTTTCGTTACAGGTAAAAGAAACCTAATTCAAACTGGTTTAGGCAAACAGAAGCACTGGCTTCTATTTTCTGCAACAGAGGAATGTATTAACGCGTGTTCCTAGGGAGTCCCAACTTAGAATGAACCAGGGATCATCCTCTGCATCTCTCAGCTCTGGTTCTCAGAGCTAAATTTCACTAACCCCACTTGGGTCCTATGTCATTCTTGAATGCTGATTGGCCAGTCCCATGTCATGTGCTTCCCCATATAACCAGAGTGATCAGCCCCATTCCAAACTGGAGGACTGAGGCAGGGTCTCAGTCCACAGGAAGATGCATGGCTGCTGAGCAGGCAGAAACAACAGATACCACCACAGTTTCCTTTTTGTAAGATGGGGAAGACTCTAACAATTAGAACCATCAAATAACAGGACAGTCACTCCTGTAATATACTGAGTTGATCATCCATTCGTCAGACATATTTGATAGAACAGGAGGGGTTGTACTTCCAAGATTCTTTCCCATTCTGCATCCTTTAGGATTATAAAGAATAGTCACAGTAAAGAGAGAAATGAGAGAACAAAGAAAACTCAATAGCATTTTTTCTTTTCTTTCCTTTTTGTCTTTAATTTTTTGCAGAGAGCAGATGTGGCTGTGGCTCCCTTAACCATCACCTTGGTCCGGGAAGAGGTTATAGATTTCTCCAAGCCATTTATGAGTCTGGGGATCTCCATCATGATTAAAAAGCCACAGAAATCCAAGCCAGGGGTCTTCTCCTTCCTTGATCCTTTGGCTTATGAGATTTGGATGTGCATTGTTTTTGCCTACATTGGAGTGAGTGTCGTCCTCTTCCTGGTCAGCCGCTTCAGCCCCTATGAATGGCACAGTGAAGAGTTTGAGGAAGGACGGGACCAGACAACCAGTGACCAGTCCAATGAATTTGGGATATTTAACAGCTTGTGGTTCTCCCTGGGAGCCTTCATGCAGCAAGGATGTGACATTTCTCCCAGGTCAGTCAGCCTTTCTTAATCCCTTTCTTTGCTCAATGCTATATTTGGGGGGGCAAAAAAAATACTGGGAAGTTAAGAGATGGGATTTATTTCCAGATTTCATCATCAGTTTTTCAACTCTTCTTTAGTTAACTGTCTATTCATACTGTGGATTGTCTGAATGCGTCCTGTGGCTGAGCCAGCTCTGTGTTCTCTGATTGATGTGCTCTGTCAACGTTAATCAGCATAATCATGACTTCAATGTCCTGTAGCTGAAGGTATAAAGAAAGGATTAAAGGATAGTATGGTACAACTAACATTTATTGAGTACCTACCATATGCGAGACAAGTTTCTGAGTCCTATACGTGCATTTTCTCCTTGAAACTTCATAGAAGCATAAGGTGGGACTCCCCTTATATCCTTCTACAAATGAGGAATGACAGAAATGCTGAATGTCTTGCCAAGGTTGCACAGCCAAGAGACAAGTGAGTTGAGATTCAGACCACTGACCTAGACAACTTCTGTGTAGGGGAAAGAGAACCACATTCTGAGTGGGTTCTAGCAGTGGCTCTAGGATCTGGTCTTTCTGTGTGGCCCGGGGCAAATCACTTCACCTTAGGAGACATTGACTTCTTTATATTAAAAAGAAAAAGGTTCTCCTTTTCTTGGTTCTGAGGAAGATCCTGGAAATAATCCAGCTCCACTGGTAAAATTTGTTCCTTGTGGTAGAAAACTACCAATCTAGACTAATTCTCACATTTACTGAACTCTTGTCTTTTGTTCTTTTGACTGCATTCTAGACTATTCATTCTACAAATCTCCTTTGATTTACTTCATTGGCAACTATGTATGCCTTTCCTTCTATAGTTGCCTGATGTCTATGATTTCATTTTCCAATAGGCATTCCCTTGTAGATTACCAAATGTCAAAAGCATGCAGAGAGTCAGGGCTCAGAATTTGGTCTCCACGGGTAGATCTGAGGGCATAAGTGCATAAATATCAAGGCCTTGCAGACAGCTGCTGGAGGCATCTTTGCCACCTGTCTATGTTTTGCATTAGTGTCCTTGAGGACCGATATTCTTAAGCGACAGCAGAGTAAAATCTTTCTAACAAGCTTCCCCCAGGACTTATTTTGTCTGCTGTATAACTTAGAAAGTCTCATCGTTCATTATGATCTTGTTTTTCTTTAAATAAGAAGACAGTCAGGGTGGGGGGCGTGGGAGAGGAGGTGTGAGACTGGATGCTTGGCCAATACTGGCAAACACATGGTGAAGAGTAGAAAGAACCAAACAGGGGAAGGGCTTGCTTAAAAATAAATCAGACCAGTGGATAAACAGTAGGAAAAATGATTCTTATCTAGTCAGTACAATGTAGGACCATCAAACACTCACATGTCAAAAAAGACTCATGAGCTTATTTTTCTCCATTATCTCCATCAGTGGACCTCTTGCCTCCTATCGGCACTTTGTGGTCTGACCTCAGGTTGTGTTTTCGTCCTACCCACTATTCCTCCAGAGGTTTCAAGCTCATGGTCCACAAAATGAATCCTGTGTCAGACATAGTTGTTTTTTGTTTTTTTGTTTTTTTGTTTTGAAATGAAGTCTCACTATGCAGCCCTTAGTAGAGTGCTGTGGTGTCACAGCTCACAGCAATCTCAAACTCTTAGGCTTAAGCGATTCTCTTGCCTCAGCCTCCCAAAGTAGCTGGGACTACAGGTTCCCCCCACAATGCCTGGCTATTCTTTGTTGCAGTTGTCTTTGTTGTTTAGCTGGCCTGGGCCGGACTTGAACCCACCTGAACCCACCAGTTTCAGTGTATGTGGCCAGAGTCCTACCCAATGTGCTATGGGCACTGAGCCCAGACGTAGTTTTTGTTTAATCTGTACAGAATGTGGTGATGGTTGTCCAGACTAAGTGCTGGCTATCCTCTTTAGCAGTCCACACATTTGCCAGTCCACTATAACCCCCACCTGACCTTTTCACTCCTGAGTTACTCAGATGGCTTTCATGAATACTTGAGTGTGTAGCCTCTAGCTGCAAGAGGGTTTTCAAACTGTGTTTTTCCTGCACTTCTGGGGTTCCACTGGGGTATCTTAGGAGCTGACACCAAGATGAAAATGAGAGTGAATGTCAATGCATTCAGCCTCCCTTCCCCCTCGTTTTACTAAAATAGCTCAACTCTAATTGTGTTCATTGAAAAAATAGTGATAATAGTTCCTGCCTCAAGTATGGTTTAAGGTTTAAGAGATTGATACATAGGACCTATGACACTGTATTCAGCCTTCACTTAAGAATCATGGTAAAATGGATGCTATTTTTTAATTATTTTATTGATGTTATATATTTGGCTTTGACTAAACCTCACTAGAGGAATGGATGTCACTGCTCACACTGGTTTGAAAGCCTAGTACCTTTTCTGGGGAAGCCCATGGACACAATGGAAATAGCCAGTGATTCGCTCCAGAAACCAACAATGTCTGCCTTCCTGCAGCTCCTTCTAATAAGAACTGGGTGGAAGGATGTATGACATTGGATGAAAGGTCTGACAAACACAAGAAGAGTTAACTGCCAGAGTGGGATCCACTTGCAACAAACTTTTCCTTATCAAGTCCACTCTGGCCAATCCCAGAGTTTAGGAGCCTGTATAAACCCCCGTAAGAGTTAGTGTATGCATCATAATGTTTCTTGGAAATGTAAATTGAAAAGACATGTACTTCATTCTCAACTTGACCTAGATAAAATAAGGGTACTAAGACAGTGATGAGGGCCAGAGACCAAGCAGACAACAAAAAACATCAACAGAAGCTTTTGTTATTGTTGTATACATACTTCCTCACAAAGTCAGCAAGCTTCGTGAGTCTCTGCTGTACAAGGTCAGATAATTAAGTTCAGAAACTTATCCTAGAAAAGTGCTACAGTACCTCATTGTTAAGTATCACTATAGTCACCTTTAAAATACTCTCCGTGGCCATCTGATAACCATAGTGATATTCAGCAATGAGGCATGTAGCACTTTTTCTAGAATGAGTTCTCTAACTTAATTGTCCCACCTCATACACAGTACAATGTTAGACACTGGGTGCTATAGTTAAAGGGACTGTTAGGGATTCACACACATCAAACATCTGTCCAAATGAGTTTCAATTAATTGTTCTTGATGCTTATTTAAAGAACATATCATAAACCTTCACTAATTTAGAATTTGAGGAACTAAGTTTCGTGTGAATTGCATGTATCCACAAGTAGCTTTACAGCTTTCTAACCTCTTAAAAGTTAATGTCTTACAGTTATTAGACATGTATAAGAACTGGGTGGAAGGATGTACATGTCTAATGTCTTACAGTTATTAGACATTAACAAAATGTGGCCAAATGTGACACAAAAAAAATGTGGCCACAGAAATGTGAACCGGTTGAGGGTTATCTTACTCACACTCTAAGAAAAGTAGGGGTAGAAAATAGTGGTTTGTGCTTCCAGGAAGTCAGCATTGGCTGTCTGTGATTTTCTTGGTCACAAGATGGCAGCTCCCAGATACCCCATCCATGTTCAAGCAGCATGAAGGGAAAGAAGAGTTGCCTCCTATTTCTGCCTCTTTGGATCAGGAAAACAAAAGCTGAACAAAATAACTTTCCACCCCACACAGAGGTCTGCTTTTATCTCATTGTTCAGAGCAGTGTCCGTGATTCTCCTAGTGGCAAGGGAGGCTGGGAAGGTAAGAATTTAGGTTTTCTTGCCTTTAGAGTAGAAGAGGTAGGAAAGGATATTGGTAGGGTGGGTCAACCAGCAGCATTGACCACTGGGCCTAAAGTCAGTGTTTCTGCACTAACATCACAAATACATAAAAATAATCTGCACAGGCAATGATGTATACCAGCACATGCCACTGAAATGCTTTAAAGACTCCTCCTCACTCTCTTTTTGAACTGTTTATTTGATAAATTGGTTTTGTGTAACCTATTTTAAGGTGAAAGTTAAAATTTAGTAGAGCTGTGATCACAGATAATAATTTTTTTTTCATTAATTTGATGGTAAGATTAAAAAGACATCTGTGAATTGATTTTGTAGGCCTGTTTCTTGTGCCCAAAGACCTGTTTTTAATAGATAGCTTCAATTTCCTTTTTATATACAGAGGAACATTTTGAGAAGAGATATATTCAAAAAGGAATAAAAATTATCACAGACAAAATTTATCTTTAGTTCTCCCCAATTTTTTTTCTGCACCATTCCCCCTTATTTGTGGCCAACATCATTCATTTATTCAACAGATATTACAAACTGTCTAGATCATACATGGTGCTAGGTGCTGAGGATATAAAAATATATTGATGACGGAGCATGAGGGGTGGAAGACTTTGCTTCCAGGAGCTGGCAGTACAGTGATATAAGACAGACATTAAACAAACAATTGTGAATGTATAAATTGGGATGTGCTATGAATAAAATGAACCTGCTGTTGCAATAGATAATAAAGGAAGTGGAATTAAAGGAAACTTCTTAGAGCATTCTGTGAAGGTTTCTCTGAGGAGCTGATGGGTAACCGGGAATTTAGCTTACATAGAGCTGGGAGACATAAATAGCCATGTGCAAAGGTTCTCAGGTGAAAAATAACTTAATGCTCTCAAGGACTGGGGAGCACCCAGTGTGTCTGGCTTACAGTGAGTGAAGATAATAGTGTTGAGATAATGTTGGAGAAATAGGCAGGGGCCAAATTCATAGTATAAATTTAATGTTTTACTTTAGATGGGATGGAAAGCCACCGGGGGGGGGGGGTTTAAGCAAGAGGAGGATTGATTTGCATGCTAAATGCCAGTCTGGGGAGATATGAGAAAATGAATTTGGGCAGAGAAGAGTCCAGAATGGAAGCAGAGGGACCAAGCAGGAGGCTTTGACAGCCAGCCAGGGGAAATTACAGTGACAGTCACAGACACAGATTTATGTTCTTCTCTGAACCTAGGGTTGACAAAACTTGCAGATGGATTGATCTATGAGGATGAGGAGAAGGAGGATTCAAGGGTTAATCC